TGGGCCAGGTGCTCTTTGTTTCTTTACCAATGAGATGCCGTGTTGGATTTCGGAAGGGAGAACATTGGGAACGACATATCCATCATGTGGTATGTGGTGTGTGGGCAAGTGGATGTGGCTATTAAAGAGATCTGAGTAGAAGTCATGAATAATCTTCTCCATTGCCCTTCTGGAAGATGTGATAGAACCATCATGATGTCGGAGGGCAGTCATCTTGGTTTTGTAGTTGGTGAAGGATAGGCGGGCATTACAAATGTTTTTCCCAGCTTCTGCTGCATCTACCAGTACTGCTGCTCTCCTGTTTTTGAGGTCATCCTTGATGGCTTCTCTGCACTGTTTTGCCAGTTCGGATGTTCGCTTGTGGTTGCCTGAGGCATGTGCCAAGCCACGTTGGCGAATAAGTTCAAGAGTGTTCGAAGAAAGACGGTTTTTTGTGGTTATCTCTCTCTTGGTATTCCTTGCACAATCATGGAGGTGCTGAATCATTCGTTCGTATTCCTCATCAATGTTGTCAATGACGGCATCTTCCCATGTTGCTGCAATAGAGCCAAAGAGCTCCCAGTTGGTGGTTGTTCTGGGAGTCCTCTTCTTAAACCTTGCATTCTTTTCTCCTCGTTCTTTGAGGTAGAATTTTGCACGAAGATGACGGTGGTCTGATCCCGTTTGGAATTTTGGGACAACAGCAACATCGGTTAGGCAAAACCGCCGATTGAATATGATGTGGTCTATTTCATTGTGGAACCGTCCATCGGGAGACTCCCATGTCCAACGTTTAGATTGAGCCTTTTGGAATTGTGAGTTACCATGTAAGGTTTTGGTTGACATGATGAACTTAGACAGTCTGTCACCCTGTTCGTTCCATTCCAGGCCATGGGTTCCGATGTGGAGTTTATCGACTGATCTTCTTGGTCCTATCTTGGCATTAAAATCACCGACAATGATCTTGTAGAAGGTGTGATCTTCTTTATAGAACTTCTCCAGCTCCATATAGAATTTCTCAGTTTCTCTTTCACCATAACTGGATGTTGGTGCATAGACAACAAAGATAGAAACTGCCGGTAGTGAGCCACATTTATTCAAGTGTAATCGTCCGATTCGGGTTGTTAGGCATTTGAATGAATCAATGCTCGTGACTAAGTTTGTGTTGACAAGGATACCAACACCACCGACGCCTCTTTTATCACATGTTCCAAGGAACAGTTCTTCTCCAGTGTCGAAAACAGCATGATGGGATTGATGTCTTCTCGTTTCGGTCAGACCAATGATGTCGTATTTGATCTTTCGCGCTTGTATCATAAGGTCTTCAATGGATGCAGTAGATGCCAGCGTACGAGCATTAAAAGTACAGACAATCATTTTTGTTTTTCTGAGTTTTGGCAGCCTATGTCTGCCTTGGTGTTTTATCAGCCTCTCCTTCCATATCCTTCTCGACTCTGCATATTCAGGGTTAGGGAAATGAGATCCATTTATTACTGGATTTGGCATATCAATTTGGTCTATTTGGCATAGACCACGGATAGCTTGCCAGGCTCTGCTTTAGCTTTCTATTAAAATTAATTTTTAAAATTAAAATATAAGAGTAAAATACAATAGGGAAGTTGGGGAGAGGGAAAGTATGCAGATAGTTTAAAATTATGTGTCCCTAAACTCACACTTCTTTTAAAATCTCATTCTTAAATATAAAGATCTAAGTCAAGGTCCAAGGTATACATGCAATTATAGTTTTTAAAAAATTAGATTACTAAAGACACTGTGTTGATCAAATAATTGTTTTTATTTTAGGGGGTTGACAATATAATATGTCTATGTGAGAGCTAACATTGTAGCATTGTAGCACTGTCCTCCCATTGTTCATTGATTTGCTCAAGTGGGCACCAGTAATGTATCCATGTGAGACTTGTTACTGGTTTTGGTATATCGAATATGCCACGGGGAGCTTGCCAGGCTTTGCCGTGCGAGTAGGATACTCTCAGTAGTTTGCCAGGCTCTCCGAGAGGGGCGGAGGAATTGAACCCGGGTTGGCCGCATGCAAGACAAACACCCTACCCGCTGTGCTATTGCTCCACAAGCTGGAAATACAACATTGTCTAAATATACTTTTTTATTTACTTAAGTGAACATTATAGAGTCAGATCCCAAGTGACAAATGTGTTTAATTCCAAAACTTAATTAGTAAATTGCTTTAGAATTTGTAATTATTTTTTTCTAGAAACAATGCTTAAATAATGCTTTAGCACCAAGCCTAGCCTATAAAAATAAATTTATCATCATGTAACTGAGTTAAGATTCAAACAACCTTGGCCCATCTTTTACTTTCAGAAAAGAGAAAAGCATGATACAGGGGGGAAAAAAAGAAATGAGTTTGTAAAGTATCAGCTGAATGAAAATGTGGAAAGAAGAACTGTTTCCTTTTTCCTGTGTTCAGATTTTGAGTTTTCTGTCCTTTAAAAGCAAAGGACACCAGAAATAGGCCTAGGTATCTGGATATTAGTGGTCTCATACTGCTTGCCCCAAACTGTAGTTTCTGAATCAAATAGTACAAACCATAAAGAACTCTAAATTCAACTCTCCCTCATATACACTACCCTAACCATACTCCAAATGTTCTTTTAACATATTCTGTTAATACTAGAAGAAATGAAGATCAAAGACAAGTAAGAGGCAACAAAGAAATAACATTTACAAGAAAGTGATTCTGCTTTGGGTTTGAAGCAAAAACATAGTCACTGAATGTTCTGTACAATACCCTTATCCAATTCATGCAGAACACTATTTCCTGTCAGCATTACCAATCACCCCATTCCAACCCCATCACTGCATACCACTCACAAACCTGTGAGCAAGAAAAGCGAATAGCTAGCTTTGAAGGGATCCTGGGTCTGTCATCAAAGTATGTTGAAGCCTAGGGGTTGGGGACAACACAGGGATCCTCCTGGCTATTTCTACTGTATTTCTATCACTGCCAGAAATCCTCAATATTACACATTTTATAAATCATACATTAATTGGGCTCGGAACAAAAAGAAAAGGGTTTTGACTACCTTTCTGTAGTTAGAGCTCAGTAAAGAGGATAAAGTGAATATACATGACACTTAAGTAAAAGAAACCAAGAAAGATAAGAAAGATGGAAGAAAAAATAGCAGCAGAGAATCCAAAGAAAACTAGAATTTGGTGTCAAGAAGGTAAAAAAAAGAATTGGACCGGTCGAGTTATACACTATATATGGAGCTATTTCCATGGATGATGGATGAGTACAGACTTCCCCAGAAGGACAAAAACTATTACCCTTGCATTATTTCACACAGAATAAGAACACATCATATGGACTGGAAGAGTTTTGTCAACCTCTCTAAAAGAGACAGAGGTAGAGGGAAGGGAGAGTGGGCGATCTACAAGGAGTTTATGGGTTATATTTAGATCTATGTGACTTAAAAGGGGTGTCAATAAGAAATCTGGATAGAGATACTACTTTCCTCTGTGATTATGTGTAATAATGCTGCCTCCAGGAGATATGGTCACTGTTCACTGATGGCCATGAAAATGAAAGCAAGAAGCTAAAGAATATGAACACACAGGCAGCAGGAGCATCTGCCTCAATCTTAATTGAGAACCCAAGGGAGATATGGTAAATAACTAGGTGAGAAAGATTTTGAGAAAGATTTGAGAAAGATTCTTTCCTGTACTGCTGGTGGAAAGTAAAAAGAGAATCTTATATACAGAGATGTATGGTTCTTGAAGACTGGAACACTGCATGTAGACAAAATACCACTGCCAAGATGTGAATTTTAAAAGGCAAAAGCTAGCTAAAATTTTAAAACCTGGCATTAGGCTATATCAAAGGATGCAATTTATAGGGTATTAAATTGTAAATAAGTTGGCCATGTCTATTCAGAAGAAAACAGTTAAAGGCAGACATAAACCATTATTTGTCATTTATATTCACATATAATAGAAAAGAATAATGTGCAGAATGCATATTTAATACAAAAAGCTAACTGTGACCCTAAACCTGCAGCAAATTTTTGTAAGATGTGGGACACTTGCCTAGTCAGGCTCCCCAAATCTATGGTTTTGTGCCAGCTTCTTCCTATCCAATCTGTTCTAAACCAATACTTTTTGTACAATGCAATAAAAATAAATGACTAGGAAAAGAAATTTTTAAAAAAGACATACAAAATTCAAGCTTCAATTTTTATTATTAGATTCAACATACATAAAATTAGTTTTGTCAAATTTCTTTAAAAGTTTTGACATGCTTGCTTTCCATTTTTGTACTTATCTTGTTGCGGACCAATAATAGACAGCTCACAGACTGGTACTACTCTATGAGCGACATTTAAATGGCTATAATTGACCAAAAAAGTTTGTTGTTTCCATGTGGCTTTAGTGTTTTGTACAAAGAATAGATGGACATGACTGACCCAAAGGAGGTTGTATGATAAAATATTACACTCTCATGCCATTAAAAGAAGAGGAACTCAAAGTGCTACTTGTTTCAGTGAAGAACGATGACATTCCATATCACTTCCAAACACAAACTTCAAAACTCACATAAAAGTATGTTACATTAATGAGAGGGAACTTTCATCTAAAATTGCCAGAAGTTTATTCCAAATGAAGATCTGATTAATTCCTGACTTCCCTCCTGCCACTCAGAGTCCCTGAGATTAAATCAGTTGGGAGATTTTTTACATTTTTTGTTTTGTTTTATTTTGTTTTGTGTCACAGCCAGCATTGCTCTGGGCTTACTCTGGTCTTACTCTGGGCTCTGTGCTTAATTGTTGCTCCTCTCAAAGATCTTATGTGATCATATGTGACCATTTGATCATATGTAATCATACCATTCGTGGTATTGGGATGGAACCCTGGTCTGCTGCATGCAAGGCAAGTGTGTTACCTATTGTACTATCTCTCCAGCACCGTGGATGCACTTTGACCAGAAAAAAAGTGTGGTTGCTGTTCTTTAAGAAACTTGCAAGGAAGAAGCATATCTTCATATCTCGGATTCACTTCGTGGTCTATTGCAGCCTAAACTTGGGCAGATTTTCTGTCTGCCACAAAAACAGTCTCAGGGTTGTGACCGCCTTCACCTATCAAGGTGCTATAGCTGCATGGAGAGAGGGGATAGTTTTTATTTTTTAAATGTTAAAATTAAAACTATGAGATTTAGAAAAAAAAATTCTGGGCATGGCTATCTAGCCTAGATTTTAGGAAAGGAGATAAGATAAAAAAAAATGTAGCTATGATCCTGTGGCTCAACAATTTTCAAAGAAAAATAACCCTTTAAAAATTCTGACAAAATAATCAAAAATTATTCCAAAAATATTTTTAAAAAGCAAACAATACTATAATACAAAAAGAACATTCTTTTCCCTTTTTTTCAAAGCTATTGAATGTCAAATCTAAAGGAACATATACACCAAATGAAAGGCTAAAAACATGATGAGAAAGCAATATAAAAATGTGCTGTAAGATGTTGTCAAGAAGGCTAAAGCTTGGCTATAGGTTGAAAAACTGCCAAGGACAACAGAAAGCTATTTTAAGCTCTGTTTGTAAAGAAGAACAAAGGGATAGGTACATTGATTGGGGCACACAGCAAAATGTTAACAGATGTCACGAAGAAAACAACTATTCGACTCTTATTTTGATTCTATGGTCTCTCACGAAAATGATCTTCAAACTGTAGAGGGCACAGAAAACAGAGTTAAGAGTGAATGGGGGCTGAAGATAAGTCAAGACATACTAAAATATAACCTAGTTGTTTCAAATGAGTTCAAGGCTCCAGGCTAGACAAATTATGTCACAGGTTACTGAAAGAATCTAAAAAAGGATACAGATATCCTTATAGAAACCCTCCCATTAATTATTTAGAATAAAGTAACAATTATAGATATCTGGAGACCAGTGTGATATATAATTTTTAAATTAATTTAAAATTTCAGGCATACTTTGGGCAAAATTTTAGAATAGGTTATCACATGTATGAGTTCCTGGGCTTAGAAAAAGAAGTAGTAACAATCTTAAAACTTGTAGAAACCCAAGCACAAAAATTTGTAAGTCTACAACTGTACCTCATGATGTCTCACTAATAAAAATTTAAAAAAAAACTTGTAGAGATTTACTCTAAATTATCCTTTCCCTCCCTCCATCTCACTTTTATTTTTCATTTCTTTCCTACCAACATTACTCCATTCCTTATTTGCATCACTTCTAATTTTCTGATTCTTTATTTCGTTATCAAGGATGGATAATTAAGTTTGGAGGGGAAATATTCTGTTATATCAAAACATTTCACACACATACATACATACACACAGAAAGAGTGAAAGAGAGAGAGAAAGAGAGAGACTGTAGTTATTATAACTTAAAGCTAGTGGATTAGGGGTGGAAACTATAGTATACCTGGTAGGGTGTTTTCCTTGAGTGCTGCCAACTTGACTTTGATCCCTGACATCACATATTGAGTCCTAAAAATAGTGATCCAACAGCAGAGCTAGGTGTAAACCTAGATCATAGTGACCCCCCAAATAAATCAAAACAAAAAACCCCACACAATTGAACAATTTTTCAAAAGGAATACTTGCTTAATTGGGCTGGATACTTGCTTAACCTGGACTTACAAGGCCCTCTGGACTTCAATTTATTTTTTTAATTATTAATGGGGAATTACTCCTGGTGGTGCTGGAGGACCTTATAGGATGCTGAAGATCAAACTTGGATCATCCATATCTGAGGCAAACACCCTACCTGCTGTGCTATGGCTCTGGACCCGATTCCATATTCTTGCTCTTATAGCTTGGACGAGACCAGTGCAGTCTCTGCCCCCGCGCCTGGGTGTTCCTTCCCGGAGTCCCTTGGAGGGGAGCGGGTTGAGCTTTCCTCCCCGCCCCGACCAGGGCTACGGCAGCCGAAGACCTCCAGGACCAGCCACCACCATGCTGAGACCACTCTCCGCACCCATGAAGGTACTGGCAGAGGGACACAGCCACGTGGGTTCCGGGGCCGAGACCTCCACGCCTACTCGAATTGGAGTCGAGCATCTTCCACCCAGATCCTCCAAATTCCAGTAGGCGGGGGTCACACCCACCACCTGGTCCCCTGGCGCCGTGTAATCCCATCAGCGGCCAAGACTCAGAGACTATAAAATCCAGATCCCGGACGAGACCAGTGCAGTCTCTGCCCCCGCGCCTGGGTGTTCCTTCCCGGAGTCCCTTGGAGGGGAGCGGGTTGAGCTTTTCTCCCCGCCCCGACCAGGGCTACGGCAGCCGAAGACCTCCAGGACCAGCCACCACCATGCTGAGACCACTCTCCGCACACATGAAGGTACTGGCAGAGGGACAAAGCCACGCGGGTTCCGGGGCCGAGACCTCCAAGCCTACTCGAATTGGAGTCGAGCATCTTCCACCCAGATCCTCCAAATTCCAGTAGGCGGGGGTCACACCCACCACCTGGCCCCCTGGCGCCGTGTAATCCCATCAGCGGCCAAGACTCAGAGACTATAAAATCCAGCTGCCGGAAAGTTTATCAGAACTTTTCTTTATGACATCTTATTATCTCATTCCTACTTTGGACAAACTTGCAGGCTATCGAATGTAGCCTGCCCACAGGGCAGAGTCTGGCAAACTCCCCGTGGCCTACCAAATATGCCAAATACCAGTAACAATGATGGGTCTCATTCTCCTAAAGAGCCGTGAATATAATCTCAGGGCTAGGATGAAAGAGACGTTACTGGGGCCTGCTCGAGGCAATCGACGATTAACAGGATGATGAAATGAAATGAAATGAAATAGCTTTAATCTAGGACTTGTCTAATTTCATGAAAATGTAAATTCTAATGTTTATATTTACCATATTCTACAAATATGTCCTGTTATCCACTCTGGGTGAATCAGATGGGTTCTGACAATATGAATTGGATGAATGTAATCCAGTACTTCCTTTGAAGGAGCTCATAGTTTAGTGAGGAAATAGAAGTGTGTCCCAAACTTATTCGGTCGCAATCTTTCAGATGTGATATCTGGGCTGATTGTTTCAAGGTTGATTAGTGATCAAAACCAAAACCCAGAGAGGATAATCAATATGCCTCAAATCCAGCCTCAAGTAAGAAAATCAAAATTCAAAAACAGATAGATAAATGGGACTGTCTTAAACTAAGAAGCTTCTGCACCTCAAAAGAAACAGTGACCAAAATACAAAGACAGTCTACAGAATAGGAAAGGATATTCGCCAAATACACATCTGACAAGGGGTTGATATCAAGGATATACAAAGTACTGGTTGAATTCCACAAGAAGAAAACATCCAACCCCATCAAAAAGTGGGGCAATGAAATGAACAGAAACTTTCTCAAAGAGGAAATCAGAATGGCAAAAAAGCACATGAGAAAATGCTCTACATCATTAATCATCAGGGAGATGCAGATCAAAACCACAATGAGATACCATCTCATACCTCAGAGACTGGCCCACATTCAAAAGAACAAAAGCAACCGGTGCTGGCACGGATGTGGCGAGAAAGGGACACTCCTTCACTGTTGGTGGGAATGCCAACTGGTTCAGCCCTTTTGGAAAACAGTAGGGGCGATTCTCAAAAAATTAGAAATTGAGCTCCCATTTGATCCAGCAATACCACTCCTGGGAATATATTCCAGAGAGGCAAAAATGTATATTCGAAGTGACATCTGCACTTATTTGTTCATTGCAGCACTCTTTACAATAGCCAGAATATGGAAAAAACCTGAGTGCGCAAGAACAGACGATTGGTTAAAGAAACTCTGGTACATCTACACAATGGAGTACTATGTAGCTGTTAGAAAAGATGAAGTCATGAAATTTACATACAAGTGGTACTACATGGAAAGTATCATGCTAAGCGAAATGAGTCAGGAAGAGAGAGATAGACACTCTTTATCTCTCAAAAGACACATTGCCACTCAATGCCTCTTTTGCAGACCACAACACCCAAAAGGAGAGAGGAAACAAAATAGAATGCCCTGCTACAGAAGGACAGGGTGGGATGGGGGAATGGGGGTGGGAGGGATACTGGAATCCATGGTGGTGGAAAATGGGCACTGGTGGAGGGATGGGTATTTGATCATTGTATAACTGAAACCCATGCACAAAAATTTGTAAGTCTACAACTGTACCTCATGGTGTTTCACTAATAAAAATTAATAAAAAAATAAAAAGAAAATCAAAATTCAAAGTCTTGTATATTGGATCCCAAAGCCTGTCACATCTATGAAAAAAATCATGAAAGGAAGGTGAGTCAACATCTACCAATATGCACTTACTCTCTCTCTCTCTCTCTCTCTCTCTCTCACACACACACACACACAATCACAAGACATATAGATAAATGACAGAAATTCGGTAGGGTGTTTGCCTTGCATACAGCCAGCCTGGCAGAGTCGGGTTTGATTCCTCTGTCCCTCTCGGAGAGCCCGGCAAGCTACCCAGAGTATCTCGCCAGCATGGCAAAGCCTGGCAAGTTACCCGTGATGTATTCAATATGCCAAACACAGTAACAAGAAGTCTCACAAAGGATACATTACTGAGCCCACTTGAGCAAATTGATGAACAAAGGGAGGGCAGTGCTACGGTGCTTAAAATTATTAATTACAAAATAGGACATTTCTATTAATTAAGATTTTTCTCTTACTTTTTACTCCATGTCAATATCTGACTTTCTTTTAGTGTTCTCTGTCTCTACTTCAATTTTCACTCTATACATTCAACAGATGTTCTTCAATTTATGCATGAAATGAATCTGTGCAAAGTTGTGTGATTTTCTTTTAGTAAATGAAATATTACATTGACGATACTAGGGAAGTTCCATTTTAAGGGAACCTTATGCCAAATTGCTTTGTAAAGCAAATAATGACCCTATAACCAATCTTTCTCTAAATCTAGATTTCCATATATCAGATTTGACTAAAAATGATACATCTGTACTTTATTTTTACATCTGTCTGCTAGCAGAATAGCAACATAATAGTATGCCAATTTGAAATACCATAATTTTTATACTTTTTCAGTTCTCACAATGCAATCTTAGAAAATGTATTATTTTCCATATTATACTCAGACATGCTTTCTTTTCCTTAGTGGAACTTTAGAATTTTCT